CCGCCGCTGCCGCCGCGGGGCCGTCCGTGCCGCTGCCGCCCGCCGCCGCCGGCTGGCCCGGGTGCGCGCCGCCGCCCCCTGCGGCCGTGGCCGCGGGCGCCCGCGGTGCGCCCTCGACCCCCGGCCCGCCTCCTGCCCCCGGGCTCCCGGCCGCGCCCCTGTTCTCCAGTGCCTTGACCATTTCCTTGAGCTTCCGCAGCTTGTCCGAGACGTGCTGTGCGCCAGTGCGGCTGCGGCGGGCGGCGGACGCCTGCTGGGGCACCAAAATGTGGACGTAGGGCAGCAGGACCCTGGGGGAGGGGAGAGGAGGGGATGATTGCAAGAAGTACATACATGGTTTTAGGGGCCGAGTGGCGGGTTGGTTTTTGAGGCCGAAATGGGGTGTGCGGGGGGCGTGTGTGTTGTGTTGCATAGATGTGAGGTGCGCTGACACAGCAGAGCGTCAGGATGTTCACGTGGGGCGGGGGTTGCGTGGAAACAGGAGAGGTTACTTGGGAGAACGGTCTAACCAACCATTGGGTGTGTGTGGAAACCTCGGGAGGTGTGACGGGGCAGTCAGGGCCAAGCCACCGCCAAGCACAACCTCTGGCTGTCATCGACGTGATGGTGCAAAGGCGGCAGCTGTCCGGAGGTTTTGAACAGTCAGACACTCTCTGCTGTGCCAAGGAGCAAAAGCGGCCCCTTAATCACAGCGCCCGCTGGATTGCTAAAAAGTGCACCCCAGGCTGGCCCCAAATTTCCAGCCCCCCTCGCCTGCTGTTGAGATCCTGGATGCACTTGTCTGTGAGGGTGCTCTCAATCTCATCAATGATGAGAGCCTGGAGTGTAGCATCAGGGGCCAGGGGCAAATCGGCAGGGTGCGGAAGGCGCAGGGACAAGAGCACACCCAGATGGTGCGATGCTGGGTCCCGCTGATGAAACACTGAGTGCCATGGTGCGCACACCTGAACACGTGCGATGGTCGCGCTCACATTGCTGCTGCTTGCACGCATTTACACTCATGCAAGCAGACCGACACACACACACCCTCTCTGTCCCCCTCACTCTTGCTCACTCCCTCTCTCACACACACACACACACACACACACACACAGCACAGCACCCCACCGCCCCCACCTTGTTGCGCAGGATCTGATCGGCCTCGCTCTCCTTGACAACGCCATAGGTCTCGTCCACGATGGCGATCAGCAGGTTGACCAGAACGATCAGCACCAGCACGCCGTAGCAGGCTGAGGAGGGGGGTGTCGGGTTGTCAAAAGGGGACAGCGGCGGCGTGCGGCGGCGAGGTTGATGGGGTGGACGTTTGCAGGTTGGTCAGTGCCGCGAGCATCACTGCCCGGTGTGTGTGGGGGCACATCAAGCCGGCAGGCAACAAAGTGCTGCAATGCAAGTACATGCACGATGCGTAGTGACTGGAGGGTGCAAACAAAGAGCGACAATTTCAGCATAAGCGCGTCTACGGAGGAGTTTGCTGGGTTTCGCTGGGTTTTGCCGGCCCCTCTGAACGCGCCGATGCTTCCGTCCGCCTGCACGCGCACCTGCGAGCGTGACCGCGAGGCGCGCCGCCACCGTGTCGAGCTTGAGGATGCCCTTGAGCGTGTCGTACTGCAGGTCGCCCATCATCACGGTGAAGAGCTGCAGGATGGAGTCCTGGGTGGGAGCGACACAGAATGCAGGGGGTTAGTGGCCGGGAAGCGGTGCGAGGGCAAGACCCCTCAATGTTCTGACGGTCGTCAGGTTGGGGAGGAGGTCTGTGATTTAGGTGTGGAGGGCGTCTTTGGAAGAGAACTGTTGCCCGCAGAGTGCATGGCTGGGGTGTGTGTGGCCGGCTGAGCTGACGGTCAGAGATAGAGGGTGTATGGGACGAGCGGCCGAGGTCCGGCTTGGCGAGCTGCAGCTGTATTCCACCAGGCTGTGCAGGAAAGGGCCGGACTAGCAGGTGTGCAAAGGGACGGGCAGGGTGGCTTGGATGATGCAAGTATTGAAACGGCCAAAGGGGGAACGCAGCCAAGCCGGAAGGATGGCAAGAGTGGCTGTGTTTGGCTTTCGACCGTGTGGATGCTCTGGCAGGCCTATCGAGCACAGGCAGGCTGTGGCGTGACATGGGTAGCCAACCCTCACAACCCGACACCTGGCCACCACGATAAGGGGGGAGGCGGGGGCCCGATCCACCCACCTCAAAGGACCCGAACACCTCCGGCCCGGTGGTGCTGTTGAGCGCAATCCTCTCCCCCAGGATGCTCAGTATGGGCAGGCGGCGCTGGCTACAGGAGGGGCGAGGGGGCGAGGGGGCCGGGCGGTGTGGGGCGAGCCGGCATGCGACGGCTTCAAACCTCTCGGGTGAACGGCAGCCGACATGGCTGCCAAGGAAAAAGCTGGGTCGAAGCGGGCGTTCAGGTGGCGCGCCAGGGAGTGACGCTCGCAAGGTGCCAGTGTGGGACTTGGTCCCGGCTGGTTGGCTGCTTTGGGGCAGGGCGCCCTGCTGCCTCACACTGCTGAGGGGCAGGGAGGGGCCCTCCCTCAACCAGGCCTCGATTCACGACACCCTTCCACTGGAAGCAACACAAATGCGGCCTTCACGCGACAGTCCACGGCCACCGGTCCCTGTCCGGTCACTCATTGCGGCGCATCGGGCACGCAGGTTCGACCCCAGCCGGCCCCGCCCACCTGTCGCTGGGCGTGGACAGCAGCACGCTGAAGGTGAGGCCGAAGGAGCAGAGCATGAAGGCCAGCAGCACGAAGAAGTACCGCATGTCCTGCGGGAGGGGGGGTGGCGGGTGGGTCGGGCAGGATGAAAAATGCAACTCACCTGTCGTACCCTGCATTACTCTTTCAAACCCGTCCGCCCTCCCACTGTACACACACACACACGCGCGCGCGCACGCACACACACACACACACACACACACACAATTCCGCACACACTGACACACACGGACACATGGACACACACACACACACACATGGGAGCGCGCGAAACCCTTTCCCACCCACACAATCACAAGCGCAAAAGCGCTCGCTTGCGCACACACACAACCACACACACACACATGCACCGACAAGCACGCAAACACCCAGAGACACACACACACACATACGCGCATAGGCGCTCGCACATATACGCCTGCGCCCGTCCCCCCACCTTGATGACGATGAGCACCATCCTCAGTAGCGCCCCAAAGTGCTCGTAGGCCATGCAGAAGTACAGCATGCGCAGGCACAGCAGCAGCACCTCCAGCGCCACCAGCACCACAAACGCCTGGTGGGTGGAGTTGGGCCCCGGGGTGGGGAGGGGGGCAGCGGCGCATGATTTGCTGGCGTTCGGTGGGCCCGAGGGAAGGGGCGGACGGCCTTGGAGCAGGAGACTAGGTGACGCACTCCTGAATCGGGCACAGGCACCGAAGCAAATGCCGAAACTGTTCCAAGAAATGACTTGCACAGTATGCAACAAGCACGCCGCATGGTCCTAAATTCGCTCTGGTACTCTAGGGGGGCTGACGCTGGCGCGGCCGCCCTCTCAACACAGTGCTGCGTCAGGTGACGTCAGATGACGTCGGACCTGGTGGTTGAGGCGCGTGACGTGCAGCAGGGACAGCACGGCTATGATGACGCAGGAGGCGACGTCCATGTAGTTCCAGGGGGAGTTAAAGTACTCGCGCTTGTACGTCACCATCTGCTTCAGCTCGTCAGCGGCCTGGGGGGTACGGGTGTGGTGTGTGTGTGTGTGTGTGTGTGTGTGAGTGTGTGTGATTGCATGTGTGTACGTGTGCGTGCGTGCGTGCGTGTGTGTGTGTGTGTGTGTGTGTGTGTTTGTGTGTGTGTGTGTGTGCTCGCGCACGCGCGTGCAAGATGGCAAGCGGGCGTTGGAAACGTGTTGCTTTGTCAGGAAAAAGTATGGCGCCTCCAGGGGCCCGGGTGCCCTCGCCGCACCTGGCCGCACATCATGACCACCAGCACGCACTCCAGCACCACCGCTGCCTGCCCCGCCGGCTGCCGCACCATCTGCAACGGGAGTGGCCGGCCGGCAGCAAGCAGCCAACGTGCACGCGCGACACGGCCGTCGGCGCAGCAACACGGGGGTCGGTGCATCGTCCCAGGGTTCTGAAACACATGTGTGCGCACCCAGCGTTTGGGGGTCCGCACAATGAGCTTGACCTGTACGACAAGGCCATACGACAACATGTCTCACCTGCGCAGTTGTCCAGGCGGGGTCGTTGTAGTACACTGCAAAGGCGAGGTAGATGAGGAAGAGCACCATGAACACCAGGAACTGCACAAACTGGGGGTGGGGGTGAGGGGTGATGCAGGGGCGGTCAGCGCAGGGCCCCTGGGTGAGAGGAGGCGGGGGCTATGTGTGGGGGGTAGGCGCAGCCTGTCGACGACAGAAATGGGGTCAGGTGGGGTGTTGGAGGGCAGGGGGGAAGGCGCCACAGGAGCAGTTTATTCTGGGGGCGGCCCTTGCTCATCAACCTGCATAAGAAGGGAGGATTAAGCAATTAGCCCCTGCACAACCCAGTTAAAACCGCTTGTGGTGTCTCTTTGGCACATTGCACCCTGCTAGCCTGCTTGTCATATACGTGTATACACACAAGAGAAATCACCCCAACCACCACACACACAAACACACACGCGCGCAAGCTCACACACACACACACACACACACATGCACACACACATAACCACACACACACACATACACAATTCCCCTCTCATCACCTGCATGAGCAGGAATGCGCGCGCGAACGAGTCCCACTTGACGTCGATGATGGCACGCACCAGGTCGCGCCCATACAGGTCGGCGTCCGTGTTGGCGCTGACCTGGCAGAAATGAGTGCAGGACACGAGGTATGGATAAGCGCAGCTCAGGGGCCCACGGGGTCGTCCGAGCCAACCACGTATGAGAGACCCATTAGAGCCGCAGCATGGTCCAGCCGCAGCGAGGGGCCGGGGAATCGCCAGGGACCAACGGTCAATGCAGGCGTCTTCCTTGCCGACTGCTGGACCGCTAGCCCTCCCGGCACCCCCTGCGCCCGCACCAGCTGCCTGAGCAGGTTGCCACGCCCTGGGCGGATCATGGCCGCGTCTTTCACGGGGATCAGCTTGCTGGCCGCCACCACCAGGACACGGTCCCTGCGCGGCCACGCCGTTTGTTCAGCGACCCCTGTTCGTAAATCCACGCTCATGCGTTCATTGTGGCTCGTCAGCGCCACAACCCCCTGTGTGTGCCCCTCCAGGGTCGCCCCTGCAGTGTTCCACTGCCCGTGCCCCCGCCGCTCACTTTGTCCGCATCTGCTGCCGCGTGACCCACAGCCACGCGGCCCCCAGCTGCCGCAGCCCTATGATGACCGGCATCAGCAGCAGCGCCACGATCGAGTCGCGCCAGCTGGCGCGCTTTATGAGGACGTCCAGGGCCTCCAGCAGCGGCTGCTGCGTCGACGCGACAGACCCCCACAGCCGCGCCGGGTTGCCGTGCTGCGGGAGTGACCGCGGGATGGGAACACCGTGTGTGTGTGTATGTGTGTGTGCGTGTTTGTGTGTGTGTGTGTGTCGGGGGGGTGGGGGTGGGGGTTGTGTGGTCCGCTTCTCAGGGCTATGGGTGCCGCAACGGGCTGAGTGGCAACGTGGAGCACGCTCTACTAGATGAAAGCAGGTCCACAAGCAAACTGCAAGGCATGTGGTGGCTTTGGAACTGCGTCACAAGCCTGGGCAGGAGGCGCACCCAGGCGCGCCAGGCCGGCCCGCAACGCACCTCTGAGCACTTGTAGATGGCACGCGCGTGGCGCGTTAGCGCCGAGTCTACCTCCACCTCCCCGGTGTCCTGCAGAGAAAACAGACGCAGGATGCGAGGATCGAACCTGCGCGCCAACCCCACCCACGCGGCCGGGCGTGCAGCGCTGCGCGCTGCGCATTTAAACAAAGTCCCCAGAGTCCCAAGGCGACGCGAGCAGGCTCAAGCTGCGGCGCTCTGGGTTGCAAATGCCCATTCGCGCAGCCGCGCAGCCGGTGCGGCATGCTGGACGCCGTGCAGTTGTTTCCAGCAAAGTGGCAACACAGGATCAGGCGGCTGCAACTTCAGCGCAGGAGGTGAGGGGCTCACCACCATGGGCAGGTGCTTCAGCAGGCGCCTGCAGAGCCGCTTGTGCTGCGTGTCGTGCACCAGGACCTGCGGGGCATCAGCCACAAGGCGCGGCGCAGGGCGGTGGGCGCCATCCCAGCGGCGGGCAGCGCGGCTGCCACTGGCTACCTCCATCCTCCAATGTTTCAGGATTTTGAACACAAGGGGGCCCCCAGCCCCAGAATCGAGAACCCCACCACGAATGCATGGCGCACACCCCAACGAGTCCATCAACCCCGCCGCCCACCCCCACCTGCATCGCGTCGTACAGGTGCCCCATCACGCTCGCCCTGCTGAACCGCCCCGCCACCAGCCCGTCCACCACAATCCGCACGCACTGCGCCTGCTGGCTGCCCACCGCAAGCCGCAGCAGGTCGTCCCCACGCGCCGCGTGCTTGCCGTGCCGCTGCCCGGCGCCGCCGCCGCCGCGCACCAGCAGGCTGCCACCAGGGGCGGCGGCGGCGCCCGCGCCGCCAGTCGCGGAGCGGCCGGCGGCGCTGGAAACCGCGAGCGCGGCGCGGGACGCTTGGCGGAGGGCGTTGAGCGGCGCGTGGCCGGGCTTGGCGCCGGCGGCGAACGGCGCGAAGGAGGGCTCGCGCGTGTATGCGGCGTACGACACGCTGTGGACCAGGCCGCGGAACGCGTCGCCGCCGCCGCCGCCCCCGCCGCCGCTGCCGCCGCGGCTGGCGCCGCCGTCGTGCAGGAGGCCGCCGCCTTCGGAGAGCTCCTTCCGCAGAGACGCCCCGCCGCCGCCGCCGCCGCCTGCCGCAGCGTCTGCAAACGCCGGCTGCTGCGCCGGGTTTGCGGACAGGCTCCCGAATCGCAGGAGCGCCCTCACGCCGCGCTGCAGCGAGAGCGACAGCCCGCCGCTCGGCCGCAGCGCGCCGCCGCCGCCGAAGCTCGACAGCCGCCGCATCCCGGCGTCGGGCTCGGCGCTGCCGGCCCCCTCCCAGCCGTGCGGGGCGGCGGGGCGGTCCCCGCTGGCGCGGCTGCGGCGGCCGGGCGGCGCAGCCGCGAGGGGTGAGGGCCCGCGGACCTCGACCTGCACCATCTCCGCTTCGCACAGCCCCTGCGCCTCCTCGTCTTCCGCCCGCGCCGCCAGAGATCCTGAACCCACATCGCCCGGTGAGCAACCGCCGGGCGCCCGGGATGTGGAAGGGTCTGGGCGGGTCGCGCCGGCCGAGGGTAGCGATACACTGCCTGACCCTGCTGACTCACTCTCAGCGCCGCCGCCGCTGCCGCTGCCGCCGCAGCCACCCATGCCACGGTCGACGCCAAAAGTGAGGAGCCCCGCTCGCCGCCGCGACAGGTCCCGCAACAGAGAGCTGCGACACTGCGGCGGTAACGGCGGCGCCGGCGGCGGCGGCCTCGTATCCGCCGCGCCGCACCCGGCGCCGCCTCCCCCAGAGGAGTTGAGGCTTGCCGGCGGCGGGCCCGAAGATCCTGCACTCGCAAGTGCTGCCGCTGCAGCCGAAGCCGTGCCCACGGACGAAGCCCCAAAGCTCCCTGCGACGCTGCTGCTGCCGCCAACATTGCTCAGGGACCCCTCCGGCGCCAGCTGGCCCCGCGCCGAGTCGCTGCCGGGCTCGCTGCTGCTTGGGCGCTGCAGCGGGCTGCCGGGGCGCGGGTGGGGGCTGTCAGGGTGCGCCGCCACGTGGGTGGCTGTGGGTGTGCCACTTTCCTCCTACAGAGCGAGGCGCACGACGCAGCGGGGGCGGGGGAGGGGCAGGGGACGAGCTTCCATCGGCAAGCAGGCAGTCAACCCTCAGGTCGCACGCACATCTGGAGAGAAAAGACGTTGAGGGCCACGCTTCCTGCCGCTGACTCGAGCCTCGTACTCCAAGCTGGAGCTCTAGCTTCGAGGACAAGTTATCCCTTGTATTCCGCGGATATGGCAGTCGCGCCCGACCCAGTCCGACCCCGCCCATCCGCCGCGCCTGCAGCGTGTCCAGCCCAGACAGCGCCGCGGCCGCGCGCGCCTTCTGGCTGACCGCCGGGCTCAGCAGCCGCGAGGGCGTCGAGGTCGCTGAGCTGGCGCCGCCCTCTGACACCGCCTCCGCCGTGTTGGCCGGCGACACCGCGCCGCGGCGCTCCCAGGCCGCCGCCGCGGCCGCGACGGCGCCCGGCGCGGCGGCCGCGGCCGCGTTTACGCCGCGGGCGGGGGGCGGGGCGGGCAGGGACTGGGCCAGCAGGGCGCGGATGTCTTGGATGGGCGAAAAACTGACGAGCGTGGCGGCCGCCAGGCCCGCCCAGCGCGTGACGGACCGCCGCGCCAGCGGCGCCGGCGCCTCCCGCCCGTCGCGCTGCGCCGGGGCGGCGGCCTCGGCGTTTGCGAACGATGCTGCGTCGGCCGCGGCGGCGGCGAGGGGCGCGCCCCTGCGGCTGGCGCCCGCGCGGCTGAGGGTGCCGCTGGGGCAGGCCAGGGCAGGGGGCGTCTCGGGCACGCCGGCGCGGTCCCGGGAGGCAGCGGCGGCGACGCCCCCGCAGGGGTCAGAGCACAAGGGGCCGAAGTGGACCTGGGGCAGGGCAGGGTGCAGTTCCATGACCATGCAAAAACGCCAGGCGCTGCGGCAAAAGGACACCGCCACAAGCTGCAACAGGGAGGTGGGGTGTTTGCGGACAGTGTGCAAGAGCGGCCGCCACCCCGCCCCTTGCTCTGGGCCTCACCAGCCAGGGGGTGCGTTCGAACATGGCCAGAAGCATGCCAAGCGCGGGAGCGTTGCCGTCGGCGGCCGCTAGCTGCACCAGCTGCTGCAGCACCGCGGGGCTCTGGAGGAGAATGGGCCCAGACGCGGCGCAAAGCATTAGGCAGCGACAGCGCATCGGGTCAGATGCAAGAATATGCGGCGCGCGCTAGGCATTCGATGCAGGCATCTCTTCCAGACACCTCGCCTTTGCCCAGAAGGCGCGCCCAAGCCCTCTCAAGCGGCCGTCGATGGCATACGATCGGCCGATCCCAGGGTGTCCCACCTGTATTGCGCCGCGGGCCATGTGCCACGTCAGCGCGCCCTCCAGGCGGTGCAGCTTGTTGGAGCGCTTCTGGCAGGAGCGATACAGCCCCTGGAACGCCAGCGCATACGCCGCGTTGACGCCGTCGTCGACCTGCGGCGGCGGGGCGCACCGCGAGGGTGCGTTGCCGAGAGTGCCGCCACAGGGCTCAGGGGAAGAGCTAGATCAGTGATGAAGGCTTGTGTATCATTTTTCAGACAGAAAAGGAAAGGCACAAGAGGATATATCACATCTACGAGGCTCAATTTTCAAGCAGGGTTTCTTGAAGTTGTGAGGCAGTCCAAAGGTCACAGGCTGCAACGGGGCACGAGGCACAGCTGCAACGCCGGCCGAACACCGGGGCGGGGGGCGAGCACAAGGTCAACCAGCAGCATTATTGCAGCCGCGCCTGCAGCATCGCCACGTGGCCGTCGTAGCCGCAAGACACCAGCGCGTCCCCCTGAGCGCTCCACCGGCAGTCGGCGGCCGCCTGGTCGTGCACCGGCGCAGCGGCGACCAGCGCGCCGCTGCGGACGTCCCAGCCACTGACGACGCCGGTGCCGTCCCCGGCGGCGATCAAGGTGGCATCTGCGTATGGGGGGTGGGCACAAATTTGCTGACAGTGTGTCCATGCGCCCCAAAACCTGCTTCTCCAGGCCCAAACGGCACACCGCCATCATCAAGCTGGCATGATTGCTGATGGACATCTGGACCGGGGCAGAACTGAAGTGTCGCAATGGGCATCCCTGTCTTTGTGGTGGATGCGTGTGGCGCACCTGCATTAAACTTCACGCTGCAGATCCCGGCGCAGTGCAGCGAGAACTTGTGGAGCGGGAACCCCGTCGCCGCCGCCCAAACCACGACGCCGCCGTCGGTGCCGCCGGAGACGACCAGGTCGCCGCCGGCGGAGAGGTTGACGGCGGAGACGCCGCAGCCGTGGATTTGGTAGCGATTCTGTCGCGGTGAGGTTTGTGGTCCCGAGGGTCGACGGGTTGGTGTTAGTCGGTGGACGAGATGGCTAAACCACACACACGTGGCAGCTTCAGCGTGGAGCGATGGGTCGCAGCGAAAGCAACTGGTGCGCAGCTGCTCTTTTGGGCCTTTACAGCGCAGCAACTTGCGCAAGCAACACTACTAATCCACGCAGGATGCACGAGCGCACACACCTACCCACCTACACACACACTTTTCTGCGCACACACACACACACACACACACACAAGCACCCAGCACACATGCACAAACACACACGCACACACAACCTGCATGCGCAGCCCCCAAAACAACCCTCACACACCTGCGCGTCGTCCTCCTCCCTCGTAAGGTCCACTACCACCAGCCACCCCGCCGAGCTGCCCGCCACCACCATCGCGCACTCCCCGCGCGGCGCCCACGCGCAGCACAGCAGCGGGCCGCCCTCCGCCGTCGAGACCACCTTCAGCGGATTGTCCCGCTTCGCGAGCAACCCGCCCACCGCTGCGCCGGCGGCTCCGCCGCCCGCGCCGCTGCCGCTGCCACCACCCAGGCCGCCGCCCGCGCCGCCGCCGTCGCTGCTTGGCGTCGCCGCGCCGTTGCCGCCGCCCAGCCGGCTCTCGCCCGACGCGAGCATCAGCGCCGACGCCGCGCGGCCGCCGGCGGACGCGGCCCGCGCCGCCCGCGGCGACCCCAGGCGCTCCCCGCCACCGCCGCCCGCCAACCAGTCCACTGGGTCCCACTCCCATAGGTATAGCACGCCCGCCTGCGGCTGCTTCCGCTCGCTGCCGGCGACGGCGACGCGCCCCAGCTGGCAGCTGAGGGAGATGCCGAATGCGACCATCTCGAGGCGCAGGGTCGCGGGCGCGGCGGGCGGGGCCCCGGCGCGCAGCACCCCTTCGAACCCGTCGGTATCGGGGGATCCCGCGCGGCTGGCACCTGCATGAGAAATTTGAATTGGGGATGCGACAGCTGTGCGTCACGCGCAGGCATGCACAACCGCATGCATAGACCCACAGCCACTGCTCAGCCTGAAGTCTACCACAGCCATCCTCTAAGCACCACCTTAATCAGGGGTTTGGGCGTTCCACTGGGGTGCTGAGGCGCAGGGCTTTTAGAGTCCGACGTCGAAGGAACATGCCAAAGCGCCGGCGCTAAGGCCCTGCCCCCCCTGCCCCCTCACCCGCCGCGGCCAGCGCCGCCTCGCAGCTGGCGACGCACACGCTGCCGTCGTGGCGCGCGGTCGCCACGGTGTCCCCGTCTACGGCGCAGCAGGAGATGGTGCCGGCGCTTGCGACGGGGCCGGGCTGCGGCAGGGTGCGGCCCCCTGGGAGCACCTGGACCTGAGGAGACAAAATCCAGGGGTGAGGCATCGCCACATTTCATTAGTATGGCGATGCAATCCAGTGTAGGGATTCTGGGTATCAGGATTCAAGGCAAAGGTGGGGTTACTCGGAGCAGCAATGGTTCTGGGTGCGCATGGGTAAAGCACAGCCCCAGGCACATATTAAAGGAGGGCTGCGGCGCCGGGGCCGCAAGCCTTGGGAGAGGAGCTCCTTGTAATCTTCTCCGGGTCGCCTGCGGCACGGCGCCATCCCTTCCGCGTTCAGGATAGAACCGCCGCCACGCACCTGCCCGCCCTGCTCGATGCACAGCACCGGCTGAGAGCACGTGGCGGGCGCCCCGTTCCGCCCCTGCTGCAGCGTCGGCGGCGACTCCTGGCCGAGGACACCCAGAGATGCAGGTAGCGGCGGGATGTGCAGGGGCTCTACCAGAGAGCACGCCATCAGCCGCTCGCCGTCCGTTACCCTCACCCGCTGCAGCATCGGGTGGGGGCCGCCCGGCACCGCGCCGCCACCGCCGCCGCCGCCGCCCGTCACGGCGCGCACGGCTGCGCCGCCCCCGCCGGCAGCCTTGGCCCCCGCTCCGCCTTCAGCCTCGGCCGCGTCCACGCACACACCCGGCGCGGCCGCGAGCCTCGCGCCCATCCGCACGCTCGGGCCGCCCGCCCCGCCGCCGCCGCTGCCGCCGCCGCTGCCGCAGCCTGTGAAGCACGTCAGAAGCGCCACATCCAGCACCACAATGATGCTGTCGTCCCCGCACGTCGCGACCCTGCGGCCGTCCGTGCTGAAAGCGCACGCGCGCACCGGCCGCACGTGCTCCGCTGCCGTCAGCAGCGCGACGCCACGCTCGAGGTCCCATAGGACGACCCGCGCGTCGTCGCCGCCGGTCACAAGCTTGCGCGCGTCCGGCGACAGCGCGCAAGCGCGCACCTTGCTGCCCTCCGCGTGGCGCTGCGGCAGCTCCAGCAGCGCGCGCCCCGCGCCCGACCAGACGCCTACCCGGCCGCCCCGGGCGCCGGCGGCGAGCACGGCCCCATCGGGCGACAGGCAGCAGCACAGAACAGCGTCAGAGGAGAGGGGCCGCAGCCGCAGCGGCCCGTCGCCAAGCTCATCCTCCTGCTGAGTCTGGCGTCGGGACGGCTGGCTCTCATCATGCTGATGGCTGTATGGTGTCCGAGCGGCGCCTCCGTCCCCTGCGGCTGAAGCGTCCGCGCCTCCCGGGTTGCCGCAGGCCGCCGCCCGCGCCGCTCGCGGGACGCTGGTGGCGGCGAGCGCAGGCGAGCCTTCCGAGACGTCCCAGATGGCGATGCTGCCGTCGGCGGCGCCAGTAAAGGCGAACCGGCCGTCGGCCGAGAAGCAGCAGCTCTTTATCCCTGCGCCCTCGGTGTGGCCCCCTTCCAACACATGCCGCCGCACGACAGGCTCCCAGCTGCTGCCTGCGCCGGCGCCGGCCCCATGCTGAAACCGCTGCTGCTGCTGCTGCTGCTGCTGCTGCTGCTGCTGCTGCTGCTGCGGCGACGGCGGCGGCGGCGTCTGCTGGGTCAAAGGTGGTGGCAGCTGCACTTGCCACAGGAAGGCGCGGCCATCGCGGTCGCCGCTGATGACGAGGGCGCCGTCGTCCGACACAGCGCAGCACTTGACCTGCGGGCCAGCCGTGTTGCGGCAGGCATGGCGTCGGCCAACAGTCATCGCGCCTGCTACATGCTAGGAAATCACGCTGCCAGCTCGCTTGTGGGGCCGGGCCCCGAGTCAATCCCGACACGAATGCTAGGGGCGCCATGCATGCGTCCACCTGCGTCACGCAAGCGGAGCGCCATGCACGCGCCCACCTGCGCCATGTGGCCCTCCAAAAACGCAAACTTGCTGGCATGCAGGAGCTGCAACTCGATGGCAGGCGCCATCGGGTCGCCGTAGACAGCCGCATGCGAGAGCTGCGGGTTGAAGGCCACCATGCAGCGCCGCGGCCCATGCTGGCGGCTGCTCACGCGCGTCAGGTTGCGGACGTCGTAGGTGGCTGCGAGCCGCATGAGGGGCGCGCATGCACTTGAGCGTGCCAGGGCATTTGACTCTGTATTTTGAGTTGCGGCCGCGCTGTAACCAGTAGGCCACCCTGCAGTAATCTTTGCCGACCATTACCACCTTCTTCCTATGTCAAGCCGCCGCACGCAGGTGTGACCACGCACCGATGCAGTTGCTGGTGGTGGCCGCGATCACCAGCTCCGGGTCGCCCGCGGCCCACTGCAGCGCGACGCACTGCGTGCCGTGCGTCGTGAGTCGCAGCGCCTCGTACACATGCTCCATGAAGTCGCCACACAGCTTGTGCGTGCGCTCCGCCGACAGGCTGCCATGGTCTGCTTGGCGGCGGCGTTGGGACAAGGATGGCGTTCAAGCCGCTCTGCGCCGGGTTTGCCAGGGCCGCTGCAGGTGCATGCAACTGTCATGGGTGCGCGTTCGAACGCGACCGTTGCGCACAGTGTTTGCGTCGGTGCAATTGAAACACGACCTGGATCGGTAATCTAATTGCTGCATCTGCTGTGGGCTGCACACCTGGTGGGCGGTCGATGCGCCGGCTAGAGCTTCCAAAAATGAAGGACTCGCCAGCGGCGTAGGAGCGTGTGTGCCGGTGGTGGCCATCTGGGCTGGAGATCCGGCCCCACCCGCGCATCACGCTGATTCTCTGTCACTCTCAAGGAAGCCAGCGCCCGCTTGAGCTGCCTGCGCTGTGATCCTCACGAGCCGCGTGTATGACAGTGACCAACACCAGAGGCGCGGCAGATATCAGGCACAGCGACAACATGTTAAACATTACATAGATCTATTTATCTCATATACACACATGCGCCCTGGCAGATCAATTGACATTGACCGCGGATCACGTCCTGCAGCTTGGTGTGTGTAGGTGAAAGTGGTTCGTGACATAAATTGAGGTGGTACGGGTGTCTTTAAGCTGCACGCCACAGGTGATTTGCGCCGTCTGCGGTAGCGTCACCACCCAACCTGCGCAAGTCGGTGTGCACCTTCATCGCAGGTTCCAGGTGAGAGCAGTCACTATGTCAACACCAGGTGGTCAACTGGTCAACATGGCGCCACACGGCCCTGCCCATGCGTGCCATGAACCAACCGCTCGATTGATCAACGTGGATCCTAACACAGTGCGAGTGCTTTCCTGTCCTCCTTCTCACTTCACTGGGTGCGCAGCTACCTGCTTCTCCGCGCTTCCCCGCTCCACCCATATGTTGCCATCACCCCCCTCTCGACCTTGCGTGCCCTACGCTTGGTCAAGCACAGGGTTTCAATCAAGCTGAGATAATTGCCCACCAGTCTTACGCGGTTGCACAAGCGCGCATGGCAGTGCAGAGTCCCAGGGGGGCACCACTACCCGCACTGCCCCGAAGCAAGATGTTTGCAGGCAGGTTGGTATCGGTTGAAATCATGATGCGCCAGCTAGTGGCCGATGGCCACTATGTCGGCAGCAAGCAGGTGCAAAATGCATGGATGAACGCTGTCCTAATACCCATGAGCAGTCCCCATGGGACACGACTCCCTACAGTACTGGAATAACATGCCCAATAGTAGGGTTACGCATGCAGTGTGGGCGTATCACACCAGCTTGCTGTGACCAACCCTGGCTTGACGACACCCTGGCTGCGGCTGACCCTGTGTTGACCCATCTGGCTGATAGTTGACCTATCCTGCGCACAGATGGACCACTCTCTGCCACTCGCTGCGTCTAAGGGGTTCAGTAGACTGCATTAATTTTGTTTCACCAAGTCAGTTTTAGCAACAGCGGGCCGGGAGCTGTCGCAGGAGGTTGCAGAGCAGCGCGTGCAGGTCACAGCAGGTGTGGTCACTTGTCACCGCAGCTGAAGAGTGATGTGCAGCGCTGTGTCATGCCATTGCTTCTCATTATCTCGCCTCGAGATGATCCAGTATCCGTGGAAGCTTGCTTTGCGTGCGATCTAGAAACACAGCTCAGACTTAGTTTTGCGGCTTGCAGGGGACACGCAGCTTTTGTGAGTCACACCATTCCATCAAACCTGTAGTTAATTAGTGCTGTACTTGTCAGCACGACTCGCAGCAACACAAACCACCGTTGCAGTAGTGGGGTGCCGCTGCTCCCGCTGGACGCCGCTGCGGACGATTGTGTCAGGGCACACGTCCTCCGGCGCAGGCCTTGCATCAGGAAGCTCTTGGGCTGGTTGCGGGACACCTGCCGTACATTTGGCGCAGCAGCCCTCCCACGGGCGTGGCTAGAGTGCCCCCGCGCCTGCAGAAGCCAGCGGGCTGCCCAGGGTCGACGGGCAAGGTGAGGCCCTCGCGCAGCCTTAACCAGCAGCGAGCCGAGCGACCGCCACTGCGTGCCGCGGAGGCACCTCGTAGGGCAAAGTGCTGTGAGTCGGCGTCCGGGCAGCCCGGCGTGGCGCGTCCTCTTGGCCGAGCTCGCGCAGCCGCTAGCCGACCCTGCCGCTCATCCCCCACCTGCCAACCATGGCTGGATGCAGGCGACCGCAGCGCCAGGGCAAGCCCTACGTGGGGCCTGAGGCCGCGGGTGCATCATGTCAAATGTGTACAACTTGGAGCCCCCGGTGAAGGGCAAGGTGGGCGCCGTCACAACCCACCCGAGCAGGAACTGCGCTGACCGCTGCAGCATAACGGTGCAAATTCGCACCTGCCCGCCTAGCTGCTGGTCACAGGGCCAGTCGAGACGTCGCCCTTCCCCAGAGAGGCACTGGTGCGGGCAGGCGCAGGGCTCCCGTGCTTCGCTCCGCCCTAAATGCAGTCGTGCGCAGAATGGCTGCGCTCAACCCCCCTCGCGGCGTCATGCATTCCGCCACGTGTTGCCCTGCGTCACCCAGGTGACCCTCAAGACGACACTGGGTGACATCGACATCGAATTATGGGCCAAGGAGGCTCCCAAGGTGGGCAGCTCTGCACTACACCATCGGCATTGCTGAGTACACGGAGGGATCTCTGCTTCGAGGGCCTGGGGTCTGTCTCAGGGCTGGATCTTTCAAAATGATGCCAGCATGCTCACACGTGCGCTCTCGCATGTGCACACACGTATACACACACACAAACACAAACGCACGCATACACACACGCGCGCACGCACGCATACACACACACGTGCACGCACACATACACGCACATGCACATGCACACACATGCACACACACATGCACACATCTCACGTCACCTTCACAGATCCACTGATCCCATCGCCACCCCCTTGCAGGCAGTCCGCAACTTTGTCCAGCTGTGCCTCGAGGGCTACTATGACGGCTCCATATTCCACCGTGTCATCCGCGACTTCATGGCGCAGACGGGCGACCCCACCGGCACCGGCACGGGTGCGCCAGGGTTTAGCATTCAGGGTTCAGGGTCCTTAACCCCATGGGTGCGGACAGATCGAGCACTGCAGAGCTGCCAGGGCTCGGGGGCGGGGGCCTAGCTCGGGGATGTGAGGTGGGCAGGCGAGCGCGGGGCGGCCGTGCACCGCATTCGTTTGTGCTTCGCACGCTGTCATCGCGCACGAACTCACATGGGCATGCAACGCGTCGGCGGCGGCCGACCGGCAGGCGGGGAGTCGATTTACGGCGGCCCCTTCAAGGACGAGTTTCACTCGCGGCTGCGCTTCAGCCACCGCGGCCTGGTGGCGTGCGCCAACCAGAACCAGCCCCACACCAATGGCAGCCAGTTCTTCATCACGCTTGACAAGTGAGGGGCGGCGGCCCGTGCTTCCCTCTTTGCAAGTTGCCGCGGCCGATGATCTCGGGCGCGGGCGGCTCCCTGGGTGTTGGGCTTTGACTTGCGCCTCACAATCACTTTCGCAGCCCTGTTTCTCGGGGATTTGACCGGTGTTGGGCCGCACGCGCTCCCCACGGAGGAGGTTGGAGGTGCTGCTATCCGCCCACGCCGCCCGGTGTTGTTTTTTTACTGTCGTGATTGTTCGCGCACAGGGCGGAGTGGCTGGACAAGAAGAACACAATCTTTGGGCGCGTCGGGGGCGACACGATATACAACCTCATCAAGCTCAACGACTACGAGGTGCGTCATCAGGGTCCTCCTTAGTCAGGCATGACTCCCGTGGGGTAGGCAGTCAGCTCGGGGCGGCAGTCTGCAAGGGCACCTGCGCCCGTCCACTCCAGCTCAACATGAAAGCCTGACCTGCAGGGGGTGGGGTTGTGGATCTGGCCGCCCGTCCCCACCCTTTGCCCTCATTTCACCCGCTTCTCGACCCTGCGATGTGAAACAACCCCAGGTCGACGCCAACGACCGTCCATTGGAGCCGCCGCTTATCTTGGTGCGCTGCCCCCCCCCCTTCTCGCTGCCTGCGCAGTCCCCGGTTGATGGTTGTTCCTCCCAAAGTGGCCCCGCCAGCAAGCCACGCCGTCGGCCGCACATGCAAACCCACTAAGGACCCTGGAACATTCCCAAAAGCGCTGCCAATGCGTTCTGCATTGGTCTCAGCCACTTGCAGGCTGGTCTGGACCCTTTCCTTCCACTCGTATACCCTAAACCTCCATCTGAGAAGCCTCAACTCGGAACCTCCATCTCAGAGCTGTGAGGTTCAGTGGAACCCCTTTGAGGATATCGTGCCGCGCACGACACCAGAGGAGCGGAATGCGGAGCAGCAGCACAAGTGCGCCCGCGTGCTCGCGCTCGCACCTGCACGCGCCCTCTTGCGCCGGCACGCGCGCTCTGGGGAACAGACCGTCGCCAAGCAGGCGCAGCCCACGCGCCGACCCCTGCGGCGCTGCCCACTCGTCTGCCATCGCTGACAACCGCCCTCAGCAACGCATAGGCATGCATGCGCGACGCACGAGCATGCATGCGTGACGCAGGGGCAGCCCACATGCATAACACAACACCCCACCCCCTAGCCCCTTTTTCCCCTGCCGCGCCAGGCTCATAGCTGACCCACGCAACCCCTTACCATCCACACATTATCCAGGGCGGCCGCGGCGGCGCGCGCAGAAAAGAAGGGCCGCAAGCGCAACCTGGCGCTGCTGTCGTTCGGGGAAGACGCGGAGGCGGACGAGACCCAGATCAGGGAGATGGGGCGCAGGTGGGTCCAGAGGGCTGGCATGCGGCCTGGCATGCAGACTGGCAGGCTTGTTGACAGGTGTTGGGGGTTTGGACCTGTAGGGGACTCAGGGTCTCTGGGGGGGCTTTGGGCCATGAGCATAACGTGTGGTCTGCTCTTCCATTCCCATGCGTGGGGCGCGTTGGGGTGGGGGATGCGTCATTGTATCGTAATCCACGATGCGCTCTGGTGACGTGTCTTGCTGGAAGCACTAACCCATTACTTTAAAGTTGCACACGCTCATCAACGCAAATGCAGCGTCTGTCACTTGTTTAAACACACACACACACACACACGCACACGCACATGCGCGCACTCACACACGCGCGCACACACACACACACACAGCGCCAAGGTCAAGAGCGCCCATGAGGTGCTGAAGGGCGACGCCCGCCTGCTAGCCCCAGATGAGACCCCTGAGGTCGAGGAAATGGAGCGCAGGCGACAGGAGGCGCTGGACCGCGTGCGCGCGACGCTCAAAGCGGGGGCGACAGGGGAAGGGGCCGGCGGCGGCGGCGGCGGCGAAGGCAAGGGCGGAAGGGAGGGCGCCGCGGAGCGGGTCGAGAGGGAGCGGGCGGAGCGGCGGGCGCGCGAGGGGACCGGCGGGGGCGACAGCAAGGGCAAGAGCGGCGGGGACAGCGGCAGCAGCGGCAGCAGCAGCAGCGACGAGGAGGAGGAGCGGCGGGATGGCGGCGGCGGGAAAGGCCGCGGCGGGGATCGCGGCAGCGCGGCGGAGGCGGTGGCGGAGCGGAGGGCTTTCATTGAGGAGAAGCGGGCGGAGACGCTGCAAAAGGGGATCGGCAGGTTTGTTTGGCGGGCGCGTCGCTTGCGTTGTTTGTACCCTCGTGTGTGCGTGAAGCAACGTCGAGGGAACACGTCTGCCGACGTGGGCGCATGTGCGCTGCAGCAATTGCTTGTGACGGATATAAGCGGAGCACGTCTGACTCAGCGTCCCGCGTCTGCTGCTGCTGCCGGGATGCCTCCAGGCCCCTGAGTCTTTGATATGCACCATTACACACGGGCAGACAGCACCAGACGCTCGCGCAAACCTGTACGCATGTTTGACCTGCGGTCAACGCGTCCACATGTGACCTGCGGTCAATGCTTCCACGGTTGACCTGCGGTCAACGCAACGCTTTCACCCCCTGCCGACCCCAGGGTGCGCGCCCCTGATGCGGTGGCGGATGCAGACCTGCTCAAGCCGTGGCAGGTAAGCTGCGATCGGTTTGGGGGTACGTGTGTGAGTATGCATTTGTTGATTGTGTATTCGTAGGTGTATGTGTATGTGTATGTTTGGATGAACATGTGTGTGTGTGTGGTTGTGTTGATATCCGAGGGCATGCACACACACGTGCGCGCGTGTCATTCTTGAGCGCGCTGACACACTCACTCACGCACACACACACTTCAAAACACACAACATTCATGTCTCAATCAGACACATTGACAACACCCACGCATGTACTCTCTCTTTAGATCATGCGGGAACAATTCAAGAGCAAGAAGCGTGCCATTGGGGACCGCCAGAAAGACACCCTGGCCCGCCTGGCCGCCTTCCAGACCAAGCTCAAGGCCCCCCCAGCTGACGACGGCGCCGGCGATGCCGACGAGGGGGCCGGCGAGCCTGGAGCGCGCGAGGCGGTGCCGGCGGCGGCGGCGGCAGTGGAGCAGGGGCAGGGGCGCCGTGAGGAGGAGGAGGAGGGCGCGTACGACGGGCGCGTCAAGGAGAGCATAGACCACCGCGCGTACATGCCGGCCGCGTGGCGGGTCGATGATTATGGGGAGGACGAGGAGGACGGGGGCGGGCAGCTCGACCTGGCGGCGCTGCGGCGGCACAGGCTGGAGTTTGCGAAGGGCAGCAAGGCTGGCGAGCTGGGGCTGGGCGGAGACGGCAGGTGGGCTGACGGGCGGTTGGATGGCGCTTTGTGAACGGCGTGGGCGCTGCTGCGAGGGGCTACGCCTTTACTGGCGGGTTGGGGCCTCACTCGAGTGCTTGTAGGCTCGGCGCTTTATCTGTATCCCCATTCGGCCTGTGTTTGCATCTGGTTACGTATCCAATTATGTGGTCAACTCTATCATCCCACCAACACGCCCCCCCCCCTTATGACAGGGCCCTGGATGACTACGTGGTGTTTGACCCCCTCCTTGAGGCAGCCAAGGGGAAGTTCTCAAAGGCGGCTCAGAAGGAGAAGAAGAAGCAGACCGCATGGGCGGGCCGCGGCGTCGGATGACCGCCAGTTCTGCCCTTGTGATGCAGTGCGTGAGGCCCTGAGGTGGCGAGCACGCCCAGCGCCGTCGCTGGTTGCTCTTTGCTTCCAAATCTTTGGGTTTCAGCGTCTGGGTGCTGCATGCTGCATGGTTGTTTGCCGCCTGCGTATTAGGGCAGTGACCATGGGTACTGATCACTGCTTGTGCGGTTTCATGCCCTGAGAGGCCTGCGGATGGCGGGTGTAAGAATACATGCTGCGGGCACATCAACTCTGTCTTGCTCGGTCTATGCTTTTCCCACGGGGTGTGATATGCGTCATACGCAGGCGGTACACAAGGTATAATCAGGATTTTTCAGGTGGCAGTTGACCAGGAAGCACATTCAGCTCAGAAAGGCAGTGTTGCAGGCTTATTGGCTTGATTGCGCTGGACGGGGACTGGATCGGGCAAAACTGCGCAATGGATTGCGTGACCGTGCTGGGCTGGCCCGCATCGCCCGTGTTCCCTTGTGGCCCCTGTGACGTGCACTGCATTTGGATGCAATGGTTTGAATTGAGTTTCACCAATTTCCTGCTTTGACAAGAGCATGTATGTTGTTGTGCCTGTCTTGTTGACATTGTTCGCAGGCTAGCGTGTGCACCTGTGCCAGTGGGCGCTGCCTGTAGCCCACCCCTGTGCCGCGGTTGCCGTGCGCTCGCTATTCCGTTGATGCTCAACAGTCCCCAAGCTTTGGGTGAACTCGCGGTCTCGTCAATGGGGACGTGCAGGGGAGAAGCCTGCCACCCCCCACACTGTGACCCCCTCCGTGCCAACATCAGCTGTGCTGCAAGCGGCAGGTCACCGTGCCAATCTTTCCTCGGACCAGGCAACCACGAGCATGAGGCTGCGCATTTCTCCATCGTAACATATACTTTTTTCTCCATCGTAACATGTATTTCTCGGCCAGGGACCCTCTCGCGCACGGCCACTTGTGGGGCCGCATGGGTTGTGTCTTGTCTGGACAGCCCCTCATGGACTGTGCTGACTGCCGTGCCCGCCGCCCACATACCGGGTTGTGGAGCTGCAACGGTGGACACGCACCAGGCACTTGAAGATAACCTGCTGGAAGACCGGCCAAGCGCCTGACAGACCTTGCCCTTGTCCGTGTGCCAGGCTGCTCTGCCCGCGGAGGACCTCAAGCCTGTTCTTTTTGCGCAGCTATTGTTTGAGTGAATCGTGTGCGCCACTACAGTATGATATACGGTACCTAATAGTACTACGTAGTACTACCTATTACTACCTCAGCGTCTTACTTACCTGCTCATCTTTGCCAGTTTGTGTTCAAGGGTGGAGTCGCCGGCCATTCCAGGTATTGTACGAGCCCTGGAAGTTTCTTATTGGCAGGTGGCGGCCCCACGAGCGACAAAGCTGGGTTACATTTCAGTTGCTTGCATCTCCAGGCTTCGTCAAGCTGTGCACAGCTCTGGCCCTTCCGGTAATGCAATAGTGGTATGCACGGCTTGGGAGCAGACGACAGGCACACGCGCAGCGCTGGGCCCCCTGAAAGCTTCGACTTGGAGCAGCTCATCCGGGCCTTCGCGACCAACCCTGTCGTTTGTTGCGCTGCAGCGTGCAGCCGAAGGAGACTGAGCGCAAAGGGGTGCTTTCATCGTTCCAGTCCCTGCCCGGTAAGGTCACAGACTGGGTCCTGGATGTCGGCGCTGTGCTTGCGCGGCTGCTTGAACTCTCCCTTGCGCCCCTGAAGCCATGGCACCCACAGGTTCTGATTGGCATGCGTCTCCAATGTCCATTCATGGATGCTCCCTGCGGCAGGTGGCCTTCAGCAGCAGCAGCAGCAGCAGCAGCTTTCGTCCCATCAGCCCTAGTGGCAGCATTGCTCACGCCCCGGCCACTTCATCCCAGGCCCCCGCAGTCCCTGCTGCAAGGCGGGATGGCAACAGAGCAGGCGATGGCAGAAGTCAAGCGGGAGGTTGCACAAGTGAAGGAAAAGATCGCTGAACTCAAGAATGGACTTAAGGATGCAGATGACCTTGAAGAGCGTAAGCTCATGCAGCAGCGGCTGGCAGCTCTGCAGGAGCGGCTGACAGCTCTCTACCAGAGGGACCTGTTCCTCTTAGAGCAGCAGCAGCAGCAGCAGCAGCATCCAGGTGCGGCTGGGGTGCACACATGACATACGCAGGGCACTGACACTAGCACACAGCACGCCAAGCCTCAACTCTGCTGTGGGGGTATGCGTGACCCATTCGCGACAGCCCACATGTTTTGCACCACCATTTGAGCAGCACAGAGTTCTGCAGCACCAGGCGCATGAGTCCAACTAGGCGTGCATTGCCTCACGTGCTGCAGTAAATGCCACGCTGTGCGGCTTGCGCTCAGCATGGGCTGCTGACATTTGGGGTGGGGAAGTTTCGCCTTTCTCGGCATCGGCCTCCAGACGGTGCCGGAGGCAAGGAGTGGCTCCCTGTCTGCAGCTCAGTGTGCTGCTGTAGGCATAAGCGGCACTGACTTTGAACCACGTTGCATGTTTTGCAGCTATGCCCAACTCGCCTCGTCCTCTTCGCCGGAGAGCCCGCAACCTTGCTACAGTACTCACATTGTGCTGCTGCCCTTCCCCCTCCTCCCACCTCCCCTGCTCTGCACATACGCTGCGTTCCACTACCTGCCGGCTTCCCTGCCGCTGCTCATGTGACGTCTTTTGCCGTCCACCATCCTGTCCTGCACTGTTGTGCAGGCACAGGTGAGGGGGAATCAGGTGCGTTTCGGGGCATCTGACAATCCAATTCACTGACTGGCTGGCTGGGGCTTGGGTTTCATGAGATTGGCCACAGCCACCCTTGCTGATCCTGGTGCATGGGACAATGGACGGTGCGGACCTTGGCTGGAGACCCAGCTGCACCTTGCAAGCGCGTGATGGCGAACATGCCGTGCGCCCTCGTTTTGTGCAACAGGCAATGGGATTGAAGATGCCAGGGCAGCACTGTCATGATGCATGCTCGCGTGGTTCCAGACCAGCATCATCCACTGCACCGTTACAGGCAGCTCAGCTTACCACTGGGCTGACCAGAATCGACTCCACACAGCGGCCACAGAACGCCGCGTTGCACCCATCCACTTGCATATCACAGATTTCATTCTGCTACAACTCCAGGATATCAAGCAGGGAATCAAGGAGATCAAGGAACTCTTGCAGGATATCAAGCAGCAGGAGGAGGAAGTTCTGCAGGCCCTGGTGCCCATGCAACGCCTGATTCTTACGATCTTTAACCACCAGCACCTGCCTCCCAGCTCGGCCGGCACTGAAGCCCGTCAGGGGTTGCGGGATCAGGTGCTGGATGCGTATGAAGCGCAGCGTGACGGGCGCAATTGGTGTGTGGCGACGGGGATGTGGTGGCCAGACACGGTCGTCCGGGAGCCCGAGGTGACCTACGTGCAAGCAACACACATATTTCAGCGCAAGTGGCCCAGCTCGGAGTGGGTGAGTGGAACCTCGCAATACACCGCACACGCCAAGAAGCAGCATGTCATTGACACGGCATTACTGCGCTGCAGGCGGACCTGGACCTTGGGCCCACAACCGACTGCACATGCAACGTGGTGCCCATGATGGCTGCCTTTGCGCACCATTTCGACCGCCTGCGGGTCCTTCTGCTGCCAACCAAGGGGGAAGCTGAGGACGTGAGCTTTGTGGTAAGCGGAATGCACTGGCACCACAGTCACAGCATTTGATTGGCACTGGCAGGCCTTTGGCTGTGTTCCACTGTTTCGCCAATGTTGTATAACTGCAATCTGGCACGTGGGCAGCTCGCAGGTGGTGAGAGCGTGACAGCACCAGGTCAACAGCCCTAATCCTTGTTGAGATGCATGTGTCGTCCTCGCATCTTTGCAGATACACGTGCTGGACCCGGATCTGCTGGAAAGGAATGTGTGCCACGAGTTCACCGCCCGGTACAAGCCGGAGAACTCAGCGTGGATTGAACCTCTGTCAGAAGAGCGGTCACTTAATGGGAAGATGCTGGCATCAGAGCTGACATTCAGGCACCTGCATGGGCAGCCGCTGGTGTTCAGGGGAGACCTGCGTCCAGCAAAGCGTGCCTGCATGTGGCACGCCCACTTGGCCGTGCTGACGGCTCAGCAGCGTGGCTGGGATGTGGGGGGCTTGGAGATCACCCCTGACCACTTCGGCTGGGCCTCTCCCATTTTCGAGGCCAAGATGCGCGACACTGCCATGTGGGCTGCAATGCACGCTGCTGCCGCCGTGTTGCCGGGAGGGGAGGGTTCACCACTTGAGGGGCAGGAAGAGGACGGAGACTAATGGTTTGCTGCCAGGAGTTTTCATTCTGCCTGTTGGTGTTGACCATCCTTTACGTGCTGTGGCGTTCATCCATTCTTTTCCGTTCACGCCTCGCTGTTCAAACTGTGGTGATGTTTGGTGGTGACCTCCTGTCCTTGCAAATACCCTCACACCGTTTCTCGAGTGGCCTTGTCCGTCATTTCACAGCAGCAGGTGGACTGCTGCGGCTGTTGTTTGGCGTACATCTTTGCGAACTTATCACCAATCGCTGCGTGCAGAGCAGCCATGCAAGCAGCTAGCAGCCAGCCTGTGTAACACACATCAGCCGCCCTCGTGTTGCCATGACCCTAGTATGCCAGCTGCCCACCCTGAGAGAACATCAGGGCGAAAGGTGCGCATGTGATAGAGTGCGGACTGGGGCGGCAGCAGTCCTGCTGCAGTTGGTAGCAATCAAGAAGCTCAGCAAGCCAATTTTGCAGGACATGTAGCTGAAGCCGAAAGAATGTGTAAACAAAGACGACCTGTAGCCACTCAGCAGAACGCTGACGCACAAGGAAGCCCGGCGCATCGGCACATTATCAGGCAGTCACAACGCCGGCCTCGCCGGCTCGCTGGCGATGCCCGCCCTGACCTCCTCCGCTGTCGGCTCGCAGCCGTCGTCCACCCCCATCAGGATGCCCCTGCAAAGTAGGCGGCATGCCGAGCGGCTCTCTGAGAGTGGTGGTGAGGGGAGCTGGGCGAGGGGCCAGGCGCAGCCGGGGATTGTGCAGCGATGACTCATGGCTGCACTTTTTTAATTGGGCTGCCTTGGCCGGCCCGCACCCGACGCTTAGTGCTGACCGCCGCCCACTGCGTTCACTTGCCCCATGGGCGCCAATACGAGGAGCCGTTGCTAGTGCATATGCGTTGCTGGGGAATGCAGTCTTCTCGCTGGTCGGAGGCGCGCCTGCGACGCGCTGTCGCATTCGCGGCTTGCAGCCAATACACGCAAAGGAGTGCAGCGTGTGTGCGGGCGGTCTTGCCACAAGTTGCCGGTGCACGCATTAATATCATGCATAAACTGAGGTGATTCCCATGCTTGATTTAGCACCAAAATGCCGCATTTACGTCACGCGTCGTGCACCCAAACTCCCCCCATACCCCCCCCCCCCACACACACACACAAGCGCACACACACACACACACACACACACACACACACACACACACACACACACACACACACGAGCGCACACACAAGCACACACGCACAATCACACACGCATGTGTGCACGATTACACACACACACGTGCGCGCTCCGAGTCCCCCCCCCCCTACTCACGCAAACCTCTCCCTCCCTCCCTCTCTCCCCTCTCTCTCCCCATCTCCCTCTGCTGAGCCCTCAGTTTGTTGACATGCCAGGGGCGGAGCGCCTGGGGATGGACCCTGAGGTGCTGCGGCTGAGGGAGGGGCTGCAGATCAACAGGAGCCTCTCCGCCTTCGCGTCCGTGGTGCGCGCCTCATGGGCCCCGCTGGGGTGTAGGGACCAGGGAGCGCTGACCTCACCCCGTAGCACGCCAACACGGGTCAAAAACTCTAGTTTTTCACCTGAAGCAGCCCTGCTCTGCTTCCAAGGGATTAGGCCGCGCGCTTTTGCGTGTTTTTAAGAAGCCCTGCGCATTCGCCATGTCGTTGGTTGCATAGAGGCGTGGGACGCACCCACAGCCACTACCACTGCCACCACCGCTGTTATCATCATTGCCCAACGCCCGCCTCGTCGCCGCAGGTGCGGCGGCTCGCGGAGGAGGGCAGCTCAGAGTTTGCGAACTACGATGAGTCAGTCCTCACCCGGCTGCTGGCCGGTGAGTCCTGCGACAACGCGTGCGGAGGCACAGCCTTGCCCGCCAACACACCTAGGGGGCGCAGCCTAGTGACGTCGCGCACAGCCGCCTGCCCAGACCGCAACCCAGCAAGCCAACCCGCCGCAACCCAGAGTGCACCAAGACTCTGCTGGCAGCCGGAGACCTTTTGCGATCAAAAACGCGCAAACGCCCCGCCCGCAGATGCGCTGGGCGGCAACAGCCTGGCGCTGGTCGTGGGCACGCTGCGCCAGGGCGAGTGGGAGGCGTCGTCCACTACGCTGCGCCACCTGGCGGCGGCGCGGGGCGTGAGGAACTTCCCTATCGTCAACCACGGCCGCGCGCGGGGCCTGCTGCACAAGATACGCTTCAAGCTGCTGGGCGTCATAGTGGGTCCCTGGAACATGACTGCATGTGTGAGGCGCTCGCAGCAGCCTCCCTTCGAATTGTGATTGTGATTGTGGGGTTTTCAAGAAGCTCTGGTCGTCCAACTCTGCCCGCAGCACTTCCGCCCAGACCCATGCTAGCCGCCCCAGCGTTTGCTTAAATGACGAACCAGCCTGGTTGCAAGCCGCAAGAACACCACTCAAACGATGGGCCGCTCGCTCGCGTCCGCCCTGCGCCGCCGCCGCCGCAGGAGGACCGCGAGACGCTGCGCGACCAGCTGGGCGCCGCCCCCGCCGAGGGGGACCCCGCCGACTTTGCGCTGAGCGCGGCGCGGGTGCGGGACATGGAGGCGCGCCTGCTGGAGGAGCGCGAAGAGAAGGCAGCGCTCGCGGCGGAGAAGGCGGCCCTACAGGTGGGGGCGGTGTTTGGGGGTAAGGGGTGGGGCCGGTGGCCGCATGCAGGTCCTGGGAGCGAGGAACCCCTGGCGCCCCCCTCGTGCCGTCTGGGCAGCAGCACAGCGTGATAATGGGGCATGCATCAAGAGAGGGTTAAGGGTTCCGAGGTTGTAATTAAGGCGGAGCTCAGCAACGCCGGCTGGCTGCAAGGCTCCAGGCGCGGCCGAGCGTCAGCGTGGCCGCGGCGCGAAGCTTTGGTGCGCGTGCCCCTCCAGAGGTCCGCTTCTGTCATGCCGCGCCTCACTTGAAGCGCACGGATTCGCCTCATGGTATCCTCCAGGCGCGCCTGGCCAAGCTCAAGGATGCGGGGACTGACGAGCTGCGGGAAAAGGCTGAGCTGCAGGAGGCCCTCATCAGGAGGTGCGGGCCCTGGGCAGACCTGCAGTAAGGGTGGGGTAGGGGGTGGGTTTGGGGGGCTGTCCGCCGTGATGGCCATGCGAGTAGCGCCAGGCCGTCACATTTTAGGAAGGATTCTACTCTGCGGTAGCACAAGG